CATGATCTTTTATATACTCTCAAGAGCGTGATCGGAAGAATACATGAAAAACATGCTTAATAGCATACTCATAAAGTCATGTTCTATGAAACCTGGTTCTGAGCATGTACTTTTATATACTCTGTTGATCACACTCTTGTCCATAATCTACTAAGCATGGTTTCCAACCAACTCACTCGATGATAGTCTTAAGATGATGCTTCTGAGCATGTACATTTATATACTCTATTAAACCTGCTCTTGTCCATAATCTACTAAGCATGGTTTCCAACCAATTAATTCGATGCTACTCTTAAGATGATGCTTCTGAGCATGTGCATTTATATACTCTATTAAACCTAAGCTTTAAAAACAAATGTCAAATCATTATTATCTCCTTATTTAAGAGACTTGACGTTCAAAATGAATGTCAAGTCATGATTTTCTCCTTATTTAAGAGACTTGACGTTCAAAATGAATGTTGCTTCATGATTTTCTCCTTATTTAAGAGACTTGACGTTCAAAATGAATGTCATGTCATGATTTTCTTCTTATTTAAGAGACTTGACGTTCAAAATGAATGTCAAGTCATGATTTTCTTCTTATTTAAGAGACTTGACGTTCAAAATGAATGTCAAGTCATGATTTTCTTCTTATTTAAGAGACTTGACGTTCAAAATGAATGTCAAGTCATGATTTTCTCCTTATTTAAGAGACTTGACGTTCAAAATGAATGTCAAGTCATGATTTTCTTCTTATTTAAGAGACTTGACGTTCAAAATGAATGTCAAGTCATGATTTTCTCCTTATTTAAGAGACTTGACGTTCAAAATGAATGTTGCTTCATGATTTTCTCCTTATTTAAGAGACTTGACGTTCAAAATGAATGTCATGTCATGATTTTCTTCTTATTTAAGAGACTTGACATTCGATTTTGTATGTCAACTGTTAAAATTTTATCATTTTTTGAGACTTGACATTCGATTTTGTATGTCAACTGTTAAAATTTTATCATTTTTTGAGACTTGACATTCGATTTTGTATGTCAACTGTTAAAATTTCATCATTTTATGAGACTTGACATTCGATTTTGTATGTCAACTGTTAAAATTTTATGATTTTTTGAGACTTGACATTCGATTTTGTATGTCAACTGTTAAAATTTCATCATTTTATGAGACTTGACATTCGATTTTGTATGTCAACTGTTAAAATTTCATCATTTTTTGAGACTTGACATTCGATTTTGTATGTCAAGAATAAAATTTTATTTCGGTCGAATATTTTTTAGTATAAAAGAAAAGTTTCACTTAATTTTTCTTCATTCGCATTTCATACCTCAAAGAGTAAACATCTAAAATAATGGCTGGAAAAAATTCTAAAAAGAAAAGTGATCAAGTCGTGCAGAATAGGCCATTCTTGTGCGCAAGCTTTGATGATGGCTTGATGATGGTTGTTCACACAACATGGATAAAAGAACAGTTCAATGAGTCGCGCTATGAGGTGTACTATCCAAAAAAAAATGCTTCATCCCTTGTATCAAAGAACATCAAAGAACACAAAGAACAAGAAGGAAACTGTGGCTGAGGAAACTGTGATTGAGGAAACTGTGGCTGAGGAAACTGTGGCTGAGGAAACTGTGGCTGAGGAAACTGTGGTTGAGGAAAATTCAAGTGAGCGAATCGATCAGCTTATTGAAGGTGCGGTGACTGTTGACGATTTGAAGATAATTTTGAAATCAATGAATGGCCAATTGAAACGTAAGAATGAAGACTCTCCAACAAATGATGGTAATAAAAAGAGCAGAACCAATCCCATTGAAAAGAAAATTGCATCGATCGAGGACTTCAATATGTTCTTAATAAAAGCCACCGAATCACAGGAATATAAGGAAAATCTCGTAAGTTTCTAGTTATATACAAATATTCATTAAGTAATGTATTAATTTATTCTTTACTTTAAACAGGTTCGTTATTGGAAAAAAATGCCGGGAACTGAAGGCATGACAAAGTTTGGCAATGGAAAGCTTCATGCCATTTTATTATCAATCTTTGATCTACAGTTTTTGAACGATTCGGTTTTATGGGGAAAATTATGTGTAAAGGAGGATGCTGCAGGAGACAAAAAGCTGTATCTGAAAGTCCATGGAATATTTTTGGAAATGTTGAAAGATGTCCTTAATCTCGATGATGGAAATCCCACAAAAACTTTGGGAGACTTTATTAAAAACATCCTTAATAACAAGATTAAGCGTGACATGAAAGCTATCCTTAAGAATTCGAAAAAGAATTAAATGTAGAAAACTGTTAAAAGTAGTTTTATTGAAAGAATAAATCAGAGAAAATAATAAAGAACATTTTAAATTTATGAAATATTAATATTTTTTTCATTTTTTGTCATTTATTTCAGGATTTGAATTTGAATCATTTGATATGAATTAATATATCTTTAAAATACGCTCAGAAGCATAATCGCTTAAGTATGTTTTTGTAAACGTGAACTTTAGATCACGCTTAGTAATATATTCATTAGAGTATGCTTTAGAGTGTACTCCTATTACTATGATCTTTAAAATACGCTCAGAAGCATAATCGTTTAAGTATGTTTTGTAAACATGATCTTTAGATCATGCTTAGTAATATATTCATTAGAGTATGCTTTAGAGTGTACTCCAATTACTATGATCTTTAAAATATGCTCAGAAGCATAATCGCTTAAGTATGTTTTTGTAAACATGATCTTTAAAACATGATCAGCAGAACATGCTCTTGATCATGCTCTCAAGTTCAACTTGCATGAAAACTTGCAAGTAAAAAAAGCGTACTCTTGAGAGCGTGATTTTTATGGTACCGTACTGCGATCTCCATTTATATGGGAGAGTACGCTAATTTAGCGTCATCAAATTAAATAATTGATTTTTAAAAAGCATGTTCAGAGCGTGCTCTTTGTCTGTTAGGGTTCATTCAATGCGATTTAGTAGTTATGAGCTTTGCTGTATGTACTTTATAAATTCATGAACATTTTCAACAGATGAAAATACACAAAATTACAAATGCAAACACACAATATGTTATTGTACATAATTTTGTGGTTTCTTTTGCCTTCTTTTTGTAAATGAAACACAGAATCTGAAATTGAAATTTTTTTTTGAATTGAAACTGTGTACCATTGTGTTGTATTGGATATATTTAGCACCTCTGATTCATTTTGTGTTTGGGAATTGGAATGTCAAAAATTTGGTGGCAAAATCAAATTAGGAAGAAAATTTCACAGATGGTTTTACATTGAATATCTTAGTCTGCTGTGTATGTATGTTGCGATACTAGATGTTGCTTTATAGGAATTTCACTTGTTTTCTTTAATTGATATGCAATTTGAATTGTTGCATTGTTGACAAGGCTCTGTGAAATATGTTTGTGTTGCTGGATCGGAGATGAATTTATTGTTTCAAGTCTTATGCTTACAAATCTTTCAATTCAAGAATTAGGTTTCTAAAGGTAAAGGATCATTAAATCATAAAGTTTGTATTTCGAAGAAGCTGCTTATTAGCTTTTAACCTGTTTAATTTACATCTTTTCGGAAAATATGACTTCTGTTCCTACAAGCATCCAATCTCTCAATCATATGACTAGATTTCCAACAATGCCACGTCAAGAACAATCTATACTTGTGTCTCAAACTCAAAAAAATCTGATTCTTTCACTTCCTTCAGTGAATCTCATCCTGCAAAATAGTCAATGCATTGAAATATAATTTTCACCACAAAAAGAGCAGTAACTGATTATTAGTGATGAAGACGATTGTCGCTATAAATTCTCCCCATACAAGCATAATTTATTGCATGCAAAGGAAACAGGAGTTGAGCATTTGAATGAATGAACGAGGTGGGATGAATGCTTAAATGGCATAAGATTGTCGATAATTTATTGACATAGAAAATTTATGTTGAAAGAAGTAAGCAGCACGGAGGGATGTGTGGATGAGAAATAACAATAGAATGGAAAAAAAAGATGAGAAATAACTATCAGTTAAAATGAGATGAAGTAGAAATATTTCATGTCTTGGGACAGATTCTAATGCACACATATTTTATGTTTTATGTGCCTTCAGCTCTTTCTACGTCCAAATTTTGGATAGATTTTATGTTTGTACATTAAATGTCGTTGCTATGTCTTATCTTTTTGGCAACAAAGAATTTACTGACAATAAATTCATGTCAATTTAATATCATTGCATTACATACGACCGTAACGATGGATGTGTCAGGCATGATTATCAATTATTAAGGATATGACTACAGAGTCACTTAGAAGCAATAGAAGCTTGTAATTTTTAATGAGGCTCAAAATTCATCCACAAAATTGCGGAAATTAAATTTTCATCAACATAATTAGAACAATAAATAAGACGAACCGCTAAGCAGCACCAGCCACAGCACTCAAGGTTACTAATTACTTTCAATAAGTTTGAAGGGTGATGGCAATAGATTGCATTAAAATTGAAGGCATTATTTGAGGAAAGGAGGAAACCAGATGACAAAAAATCGCCTTCTAATGCGCTCACAATATTCCATTATGTCTCCTTCCACCCTTCATGTTACCATTAACTAACATCATCAACATCATCATAGTGACTATAAACGCGACGCGATGAGCACATCCACAACATTTTATGAACATAAATGTCAACATAGAATCATAATTATAATTTGTTGATGTAATTTCAATTATGGCTTGTGCTTAGATCCTTGTGGTCTTTTTTTCTCTCTCTCTCATCTCATTGCTTTTAAAGCTTTTCTGCTGATGTAGTGGAATTAAGCAAAAAATATCTAGCCATAGATAGAAGAGAATGAGCTATGTCGAATATTTCATGTCAATTTTAATTTTGTCTGAGTATGGAGATGAAATTTCATTATCATTATGTCCGTGGAGTTGTTCACATATATAGATAAGGCTTTAATGTCATGTGGCATTTTTTTTGTCACTGGGGCTTTTCACAATTTTAAAAACAAACATCCAGTAAAAAAAATTATTTCAAAATTTTTTAGTTTTTTATTTCCAATTTTCAGTTACAATTTAAAGCAATTAATGGAAAATTCATGTAAACTTTAAATCTTTTCTTAGGAACGGAACCAGAATGAGCCCCCAATCTTCTTAATACTCTATTTTCTGACATATAAATGTTAAATCTTCTCCCATGCACTTATAGTCATGAAAATCAAATTTATCTTTATAGCCTCGTCCAATTCCCAAGCATTGCTCTTTGCCTTCATAGTTATTAGGCTGTGTCACGTACCAAGGAATATCATAAGCCACTTTATTTCCAGAATTTACCCAATACCAATCAGTTTTAGATTTTGGTGTAAGAGTTAAGCCTCCAATTAATGCTGTGACGTAGACATATCCGGAATTATTTTTGACAAAGCTGACAAGAGTTGTGGCTTCATCTAGTGTATCAGCTGATGCAAATTCCAAATCATATGATTTACACATTGCTCTTGCAAGCATCCATGTTGTTCGAAAATATCTTGGTAAGTAGAATGTTTTCTGATAATTGACGCCTGAAGAATCAGTTCCGTCTAGAACAAAAAGGTTTTAAGTTCTGAAACTTAATAAAATCGTTAAATACTCACTGACACTTCCAATATTCACAAAAGCTACTTGCTCATCAGATGCATAACAAGCAATAAAGAAAAATGCACAAAAAAAGACCAAAAACTTCATTATGCTTAAAATTAAGCACTGCTTTTAAATTCACAGTTGATATCTTTCAAGTTTTATGTGAGAATAAATTGACATGAAACTTTTTTTGTTCCTCAAAAACTCAGAGATATTCAGCAAAGCGAGCATAAATAAGAGATAAGAAGAAATCAAAATTAAAATGTTTAGCATTTTTAGAAGGAACAACAACAGCGTTGCTGATAATCTTCAGCTTCAGGAAGTTTCATATAATTTTTATCATCTGTTTCTCTAACATTTTTGGATCATCATGACTTCATACTTGAGTTTGGGAAAGTGAAGCTATCTACTTTTAATTCTAGAACCTTAATCATTTCGCATTTACTATTGAAACCAGTCAGCTAGTAAAACGACATTCCAAAAATATGAAAAGCATTTCCGATACCTAAAAGGTAACTTTGCTATTTCCATTTCTACTCTGTTCAGTCATTCTAATAAATTTACTTTCCTCTCCCAATTTTGTTGTTCTCATTCCACTCATTTGATGTTCAGTCAACCTTCTGCTTCTATTTGCACAACTCTTCCCTTATCATTCATTCATATTTTATGCTCATTTTTAGCTCTCGAGGCTGCTTATAAATCAAAACACTTTCTGACATTTTAAAATTTTTTCTCTCTTCTTCTTTTCCTCCTCTTGCTCTTGTTCTATTGATGCTGCTGCTTACTTTCTGCCATTTCTATGCGCAGAGTGTGGGTACAAGTATGAATGTATGAGACAAATGTATGTGCACATGATTTTTTTTTCTAGTTATGAGCAGCACTAAAAATTATTTTACTTTTTTTTTCTCCTCATCTCCACATCCCTCTTATGAACATACAGAAAATGTGCTTGGTGAAGGAATGAAAGGAGTAAAAGATGTAGCAAATAGACGATGAAGAGAGGATGAGAGATGAGTGGGATGTGAAAGGGTTAAAAGTGAGATATGCTAAATGTGAAATGGTGGATTTGAATTCAGAAAAGGTTTTACTTCTTTTTTTTAACATTTGTAAATGAGACTTACTGTTGTCATACATAGACATAACTCTTGACTAATGCTTACTACTGCTGTTAATTTCTTTTCATTCTTTTCTTGTTTGAAAACAACAGAACAGCAATAGGAAAAAATTAAAATTATTATATTTTGTTACATGAACATGTGCAGGGCATGCTTATCTCAAATAATAAACACTTGGAGTCTCTCTATCCATTCAAAATAATGTGAAAAAATAATGTTCAAATGAGACATTAAAAGAGTTCAACTTTTGTGTTTTATTGTGTGCTTCATTTATTGTTACAACTTCCATTTTCATTCAAATGTGCTGTCTTTTAAATATGTTGAGCATTAAAATTTTACTAAATTACTTTAATGAGAGGTGGAGGAAGTGGAATCAATCATAATAATTAAAACTCAGTTTCTCAAATGCAGCATAAGGTTTGCCATTCACTGGTCTTTGGAAGTGTCTATTTAAATCAATTTTATGGCAGTTCTAATGTTTAACTCTAAAAGATTCTTAGAATAACTTTGTAAAAGCCATAAAATGCTCAACATCCTATTCATCAATGTAAGATATCCTCAAAAATATAGACATAAATCTGAAAACCTTAAATCCTGAAGATCCAAGCCGTTCAAAATAAAATTTTAAATAAGATCCAGCATTCAAAAAAGTTGTTCATCACTTCTAGTTGCTATGATAATAAATATTAATCAGGATGTCTACAAAATTTAATTTACAGCAAATAAGCTCTCATCAATAATTCGGAAACATCCAAAAGGATTCTGCAATAAAAAATAATCAACTTTGATTTTCAATCTACGTGTATGAAGAAGCTTTTAGTAAGATTGAATGCTGTGCTTCAATACATTTAGAAGTTCCTTGCGAAGTAAGCAAATATTAGCAGTAACAGTAACAGAAAGAAGAAGGTGAAATGTATGCAAATTTTCATTATTAAATTTCATTGAGAATTGGCTATTTAATTTGCATAAAGTGATTGTTTTTCAGACTTGCTGCTCGTCTTCAATTCCTTTGTCAAATGCTGAAAAAGTCTGAAAAAAAATTTATCAGTGGAAGTGAAACTTTGACAAGCATCATTTTACTTTTTATGTGATTAGAAAACAAAAGAAAAGAAAAATTCAGGAATGAGTCATGAGGAAGTGAATAGAAGCAGCATTTAAACGTCTCTTCAGCTCATTCAATTTCCCTTGATGGCACATTAAAAATTTATCTTTTTTTCTACATCATGAGCAATTCAATAAATTTTCCCATTCCATCCTGAAAGTATCACCAACAGCAACAGTAACATCACATCCTTTCTGCTTATAATCTCTTTTCTACATAAATACATTCATACTTATTCTTTTGCTACTACTGCTTCCTTCATACCCCTACACACAGATATATGCAATGTCAATAAATCCTTCTTATGTCTCTCCTTCGTCTTCCTCCACACTCTCTTGCTTGCTTGCTTGATGTTCATTCTGATGAAATGGAAATATAGCAATGAATGAGTGAGCTTTCTTCGCATGTCTTAACGATGAAGGAGTGGAATGGGAAGCGAATAATAAAATATTTCGCACTTGTTTCAAAAATCGAGGATGGAAAGACTTAAAAAAAAATAAGAGAAAATGAGAATTTTTAAGCCTCGGTAAACGGCCCATTAATATTCTAATTGTACAGCATTTGACAGTTTGGTGATAAAGTCAAATTTACGACTATCAAATTCTCTCGTTGCTTCTTTTCATTTCCTTCGATACTTTTCATTGTTGTTACATGTTCTGTTCTGTTCCTCTCTATCTTGTCTTTCATTCTTTGCTTCTGATGCTGCTTCTCATCTGTTTGCTTTCATGCAAATTTCTCAACATTTCTTCGCCTTCAAATTCTCTTCAATGCTGAATTTTTTTTATTACAACAAGAAATATAATAAATATTTTTTTTTTATATTCCAGCCAGTATTGCTATGTGTCGAGTCTTCTTACTTCCATTCTTAAGAAATTTTTATTGAATTCTCGATTTGTTCACTTGAAAGTGTGTGCCCATGAGTAGAAATTTATTCACATTAAGATGAATACATAAATTGGATGTAAAGATACACACCAAAACAGCTCTACTCAGTTGATGGCATTAAATAGGCACAAATAAGAAAATTTCTGATTTTGTAGCTTTGATATTCGCCATTTCTTTCTCATTCTTGTTCTCATTTCTTCTCATTGCTTGAGATTTTTCATGCCTTATATCCATTTATGCTTCTCAATGTTTGTTGTGATGTCAGTTAAATGTCAGTGATTATCATACAATGCCTGAAATCATCTCCCTTCCACATCTCAGTTTCTATAATAAATTTATTCTCTAAATGGCTGCTTCTGCTGCTGCTTATTTTGAATCTGTATCTTGAGAATGTTGATATTATTGCTGGATGTATATGTGAGGATTGAATTATGTCTGACTTATGAAGGATCATTATACACAGCAAAGACTTTCCTTATTGCTTCTAACTTCGTTTTGGTTTGTTTACTTAATAAATCTTTCTCCTTCCTCCTTTGCCTTACAATCTGCTCAATTCTGGTTAAATTGAATTGAAGCCAATCCATTGGAACTGAAATAAGAAAAAAAGGCATTTGAATGGAATTATGACAGCACATGATATATTTTTTGATTGCTCATGCAAAAATTTCAACCGAATGTCATTTCCTTTATGATTTATTGAATGTTTTCCCTTCTGTCTTCTCTTTATGCTTTATGCTAAAATATTCTTCGTGTATGTTAGAAACTGTATCAGTTTTGGTAGTTTTCTTACTCAACTTTTGCTCATTCTTATGTTTAAGACAAGATTTCAATAAATTTATTGGATGTATGTAGAAGAACAGCACAGCATTGTAGTAGAGTTTGAGTGAATGAATGTGAGCATGAGCATGTCTTATTCTCTGATATTTATGTGTAATGTGATTTGTGAGATGTTTGTGTTACATGGAAGATATGAAGCAATGGTAGTAAGAAGTAAGGGCAGAATGGATTTATATTTTAATCATGCCCCACAAAAACTAGTTCATATATCATCATATTCAGTATCATTTCCATCACATTTCCCTCCAGCTCTTTCTTTCTTTCTCTTGCCTTACAAGTCACTTCTTGCTTGTATCTTATGAGAAAATAATGTTGATGATGTTGATGATATTTACATGTTTTTGCTATGTCTCTAATTCAAGACATTTTCAGCACAAGAGACGCCTTCATATCCATAACTTATCTCATTTATCACAATTTCATTTTAGTGAAATAACAACAGAGAGATGAAAAAATTCGTCTCAAGTTGCTGCTGCTGATGCTGATGTTGTTCTTTCCAAGTTCTTCCATCAACAACAAAGTCTTGATATGATGGCAAAATGAGAAGACTTATGAATGGATGGATGGAGACATGCTAAAATGCTCATGTTTATTTGCGACGACATCTATTCAGTATCAAATCACTTGACTACTTAAGGATGACAACAACAACAAGATATCCAATTGGGGATGAGAAAAAGTCGAGGATGAAAAACAAGATGGAAAATTTCTCATTCAATTCCTCATCCTTTTGTGATGAAGACCATGGGAGTAAAAAAATGGCAGAAGTGGAATTTCATTAAACTTTGTGTATCGAAAATGATGAAAATCTGAAAAGTAATTTTCACCCCCTTTTTGTGCTTGCCTCTATCTCATATCTTTTGAAGCATCCATAAATCATTTTTATGATTTTTTCCGAACAGGCTCAAATTTTTTTTAATTAAATCCATAAATTTTCACATCTTCTATGCGAGTTGTGACATCAATAGACATTGAAGGAACAACGAAAAAGTCTGAAAATTTTAAGAAAAGAAAAAAAAAGAGCAGCATGAGCTCCTGATTTATACTTTCTGAAGGGTGCAATTGCCAGTGAAAAAAAATCTTGTAATTTATGTGACATTTTAATGTGCATTTTTCTCTCAATTTCGTGCAAAAAAGAGTCATCATCAGATCTATGGCATTAATGCAGTAAAAGACATAAAAATGACTGCTTTTTTTACAATCAATCATAAATCAC